ACCCTTTCAAACTGGATGCTTATTTCATTCCATTTTCTACTATATTAGTTTATTTAACCTTCTACATATCAGTGTTTATTATTCCTAATTTTTCACTAGCTTTATTATCCTTCTTCTTGTGATTATAATTCAACCTTTCTGCTATTTTAGAGCCCATTCCATTTCCTTCTTCTCCCAAACAACACAAACTGCAAACAACTTCACAGAGAAAAGGTCACAAATTTGCAAGAACCTCTTCATGAATTGTTTCCACTATGCAGGAGGACTACCACATCAGTAGAGCAATTAGGTCTAGGAAATGTTCAGCAGCTTACCTCATTAGTTGTACAGTGTTTTCAAGACTAAATTTCCAAAAGCCCCTCCTTTACGATGGCCTATTGGATGCAGGCATATCCTAGGGACTTTTCTGCTGGAGTATAAATAGCATGACCACAAGCTCACCTACAAATTCTCTCCTCCCTAACATTCCTGAATCTTCTTTTTAAAACTAATTTCCATCTCCTAGCCATGTTAAGCATATCTAGGCACTCTGGTAGAGGCTCCCTTATTTAATTCCTGCACCAATTCTCTGAGATAGGTATTATTAATCATTCCCTGTTGTGTGTACAAGCTAACTGGGCCTGCACAGGTCAAGTGACTTGGCCAAGTGACACAGGCTGATGAGCTTCTTTTCCCAACACCAGGAAGACTATAGTAAAGGAATAGATGTAGTCTAGTTTTTACAGGCCATCCGGACAGCAGGGAATAAGCCTTTACCATATAGACCAAGGGATCCACTCAGAGGTGGCAGAAGCAGCAGTGGTTTTTGTTTTTGGTTTAATCGTTAAAAAATCCTACAGAAATTCTGATTGGCCTTGCTGACAAGCCATCCGGGCCCACCAGCTGGGTGACTCCTGACCCTCCATGCTTCTCACCCTAATTAATGCAAGGTCTCTGGTTCTCAGTGTGAGCATCAAGACCCTGTGAGAGTTAGCAATGACCTTTACATTTTTCAGGCTTTTCAAAATATGTAAAACAGCTGGGCGTTAGCAACGCCCCTCAAACTCTCAACCCTGAAATATGGGTAAGATGCACTTTCCCTAGCTGTAGTGTTTTCGCCAAGTTTTGGGGAAACAACTATTTATACCATCAAAATATGCTGTATTTGGGATATGGATATTTTAGCAGTTGCCCAAGCAAATTACTGAGACACACACACAAAAAAGATGGTTGCAAAAGGATCTCCTTGACTTAAAAGAAACCTCAGGAAAAGAACAGAAGAAAAAAGAATGATCTCAAAAAATCTGGAGGCGGGGAAGGGAGACTGGTTGGCTTTCATACTTGCGCCTCTGATATCCTTTTGTTCTCATACCTCATTGTATTAAGGATGCTAAATCAAACATGATAGCAGTGTGATGTTTGTGTGTGAAAATGACAAAAGCAATTGGCCAAAATCCCAACCTCATCTTGAACCCTGAAGACTTTTATGGCTTTTCCTTCACTAGGCCCTCCCCCTAATACACATTAAAGACCACATTGTTCAAAAGGGTCATGGTAGGTTTCATACTCCATTTTAATACAATGTAAATGGTAACTAAACATTCAACTTTTGTTATACAATATTTGTGTATTTTTGGAAAATGGCTGGTATGCTGCTCAAATAATGAACTGATTCTTTGGTTTAAACATTAATATAATTATAATGTATCAGAGCAGTAGAAACAGTAGTATTGAGGCACTATTTACTTGTGATTATGTCAGATTTTTTTTTTTTTTTTTTTTACATCATTTTCCTCAGAAAAGGTGTAAGGGTTGGAGATGGGTTAAAAACATTCAGATGACTTGTAAAATGCTAAAGCATTCACCCTAGCCTCAAGCTTGTCAGGGTCTCAACCCAAGAAGCCTGAACTGAATTAAACTTGCTTCTAATTTCAAACACAGATTTTCTCTAAAAACTATTGTACTTGCTATGTCTGCAAGTCACATTGTGAAACCTAAATTGGTGTATGCATTTATTCCTAGAAGATTTCAAAGTGAGAAAAGAATAGAAGCAATTTGTGGTTCCATTTTTCTCAGGTCTTACCATCCGTAGTCAACAATACTTTGGAGGTTTAGTGGAAGGAAGGCAGCAATGACTCCATTAGTCTTTCTAACTGCCATAAATAATTTGCATCATAAAACTATCTAGTAAATTACTACCTTAGCCCTCTGAAAAGGATACAGTAAAACAGAAAGCTTACAGTTGGGCTTGGCAAACAGAAATGTGAAAAATCTTTGCTGGATTAAAAGAAAAAAAAGCAAATTTGAGATAGTATTTTTATAAAATTTAGCCAGTCTCAGTGGCATTCATTGGCTTATAATTTCAGCTACTCTTAAGTTTGAGTTAACCTGGACAATAAAGTGAGATCCTGTCTCAAAATAAAACAATATTTTCCTCTTCCACTGGTAGCTCAATGTGAGACCTGATTTTAATCCCTCATACTAAAAACAAACTAACAAACACACTGGCAACATTATTCACTTTCCCTAAATCAGGCATTTTTGTATTAATATCTGGATAACAAGCATAAAAATGTAGCATGATATCACAACCAAGTGTATTTTTAATTAAGACCTATGTTTTTATAGATTTTTTTTGGTACTACAAGTCCAATTTAAAAGATACCAACATAACATACTTAAAGCATGCATCTGTTTAGCTCAGTTGAAGTTTCAGTACCAATACCAGCTCTTTGGGGATGTATTTCGTGCGTGTTATTGAAATCCTAATCAAATGTTAGTGTTTTTTCATTCCCTTAGTGATGCCTCCAAAACCAACAAGATGAAGAAAGAGAGAAAAAAAAGAAAAGATTACTCAGTGCTTTGATGCATGTGACCAAAACCAAAATGATCACCATCTCCAATTCAATACAGTATTAGCATGAGGACAAAAGGCATTTAAAAAATCAATTTGGAATTATTTCTACTAGGAGTTGTCTAATCTTTGGAAGCTGAAGAATGATAATGTTCCCAAATGTTGAAAAGGTACTCAAATTATTTTTTCTCCTTTAAAGAAAAAATTAATTTTCACAAGGAATTCACTTGGTGGCATTATTTTGGTTTTAGGTATCTGTCCTGCCTGTGCACAAGGGCTGCATCTATCGTGAAGTGTGCACAATAGCCTCTCTCTTGCTGCTCTCTGTTATTGATCCTTACAGATGCTCCAAGGCCCTTCCCCCACTTTCTCCAAATCCCAACCCCCCATTCTGAAAGATAGCTTAAGAAATAAGACTTCCTGCCTAGCGACTGGCAGGGCTGAAAGACCAGATTGTATGACTCCACAGATCAGGCCTGCCACAGTGAAAGCTTGAATAGAGTTAACCCTCTGTGAACTAAAACAAAACATTTGTATGCCCAGCTGTGACAAAGGTTAATTTAAATGGACAAGGGCCCAATATCTAAAACCAAGCATGCTTTTTTTTCTTTTTTTACAGTAGCATTTCACTGACTTCTTTTGTAAGGAGTTGTTTTTGCCCTCTAAGTTTCCAAACACCTCACTGGGATCATTCATTTTCCCTTATTAGAATTTTGTATGAAGATTCAGGTGTAAATTTTTAAATTTACTTATTTCATTAAAATCATTATTTTATTACTATAAATTATTTTCTGCCACTGAATGACTAAGAAAAACTGGTTTTAATACTTAGTAAACTATGTACAGTAGGGGAAAAGTTTCTCTTTTCTACCACTGGTGAACTATATATCATCAAGAGATTAAAACTTGTTGAAAAAAACCTAAATCCTCCAGAGTTATCCCCACCAAACTCATACCCACTGCACCAGTACCTCTGCCAACCTCTAAACTCCTATCCAATGGCTACATAGAAAATCTTTTCTTAAGCTGTTCCTTTCTGAAAAAGCTAGTTACATAGAGAGGGAAGGACAGGAAGCTATTAAAGATAGACGTATCAGATCTTGTATATAATTGACAATTCCCACTTTTTTGTTTTCACTAATTTACAGTGAAACAAACACAGCTGAATGGCATGTAAGAAGCTGGGATATAATATATAAGGAAAAGGGATGACAGCATTCCTATAAGAATACTATTCCAAAAAAAAAAAAAAAAAAAAAAGAATACTATTCCAAGAGGAAGCCCCAGTTCCCTAACTTGTATATCCCCAGAGCAAGTATGAAACAGCAAGACTGCCTATGGCAGATGTTAGCCATGCTGCAAGGAGTTGGGAGGCTTATCCCAGGACCATTTCATAGTTAATGTCACTGCTAGAAATTCATTAAAAATGCTTCAAAGAGTCAGAATTCTCCTGGCTGTAGCTCAGCAATGCTTGCCTATAAGAAATCTGCAAATTCTTAAACTCCACTTTATAAGTGCAGCAAATTTTTAATGTTAAGACCAATCTTTAAGCTGTTTCTGTAGCTATAATATTTACTAATCACTATTACTATACATACACAGAGAAAATTTACCATCAAAAATAATTTTTTAAAAAAATTAACAATGGCTTAGTCTTATACCCCAAACCCCCCCAAGAAGATGAGGTTGCCTTATCAGTGGCCTTCTGACCCCAATTCTATCTATAATTAACACTGTTAAGTAAGCTTTGGCAGATGGCAAACTAGATTAAACAATTTAAAATTCAAACAAATTCTGTCAAGAGGTGAGCAAAACCATTTTCAAATGTAAATTTTACTCTGTACTGGAATGCAATGTTTAATTTTTTTTTAAATCACCATTAAATTTAAATCTGCTGTATCCCTTTTCTCCTGCTGTTTCTGTTAAAACACCAACCACCATTACCACACTTCAGCTCTCCTTGCTTTTCGTCTGTATCCAAAACATTCTCAGCCCACAACTGTGTACATGAAAACTTGTTGGTTGAATTCTACCCAAATACAAGAAACAGTTGTCTGCTGACTTGCCTCCTTTCTCCCTCCAGGCTACTATTTGATCTAAACCTTCAAAGAAAATTTTTAAACCTTAGATTTGCATGTCCCAGACTTTTAACAATCAGCCCCCTTACCTTCCCATGTCTCCATTTCATGCTTCTCCAAGTCTGCTGAGAAGTTCTGTTGCAGCCATGAAGAAACAGAGATTACAGGACAAGTCCAGCTTGATGACCACCCTTCCGACACTTGGTCAATTTCTTTCTCTGAGGCAGACTGACTAAGACAGTCATCCTCACAGGTCAGTTTACAAGCCGGTCATGTGATTACAAAGTTCAGGCTCTAAGGTCACAGTATGTATGGAGTTCGTTTATTACCAAAGGTTATCTAAGTGGAACCGATAGACTTATTTTCTCTAGTTAACAATACTGCCTAGCACATTTCCCTGAAAACCAATATTGGAACACTTAAGGGAAATACTCCACTATTCTTAAACTGAAATTCAATAATTAAAAGGCAGAATGACAAAATTTAAAAAGGGCTTTAGTATGGGGAAGTTTTTATTCCTTTTGACACAAAGATAAAAACTACACTTTAAGCATCTGTTTTGTTTTTTTCTCCAGGGGTAGGAGTAGGATTACTGTTTTTTGTCATTATAATAAACAATGACAATGACAATTCTGAGAAAATTAAAACATGGTGCTATAAGTTGCAGGGTTTTAACTTTAGTCCTTGGTTTCCATGCTCTGGTTATCCACACTAGTTTGAAAGAATGTGCAGAAAACAAACTAGGTCTACAAAATTCTTTTAGAAAGCAAAGGCTAAAAATTTCATTTGTTGCTCCCAGCCAAAAGATTACATCATTAAAGTAAGCTTCTTGCTTCATTCCTCTAAAACTCCTAAGGTCTTAAGCAATTATCATACTACAGCCTCTTCCCTGATTCACCAACCATACCAGCATCACAAGGCCCAGTATGTAAGATAGATTCTACATATACTTACACACCTTACCACAGAGCTGCAGAGGCTGGCAAATTTGAGCCATGAGCTAATGACACATAATGTCAAACATTCACCTATCCATTCAGATATCAGAACACACAAAACAAGGGTAAGTTCCCATGCAGGAGCACTAAGATTAATCTTCAACAACACAAAAAAGGCAGAGGGTGTTCTGCTGAGAAGGTGGAATGGCCCACAGAGACACTGATTATTAACAATAAATGGTTTTTTAGCTGTGCAAGCTATTTCCTTTTCACTAACTTAGCTTTAGGAATTCTTAAAGGCCATCTACAATTTACAGCATTACAGAGAGAGAGAGAGAGAGAGAGAGAGAGAGAGAGAGAGAGAGAGAGAGAGAGAGAGACTGGTTTGGGGTATAGCAGAATTTGCTGGCTGTCATATAAATGAATAATAAATATTGTTATCAACATTACCAGAGGGCTTCCCTAACCAACAGAGAACATTAGGATCATTGTACAAAGTGGAGCCTGGTGAGAAAGTGACCAGTAGTTTCGAAAAGGAGAATAAACATAAATGTTCTGTCACTGCTACCATATACCTTTCATCAGCCCCTAAATTTGACTAGTTTTTCCACTTCATCACAAGAGATTAATGAAGATTTTCTTTTCATTCCCTGTGGAACTTAATGCAGCTCTGGAGTAATTTTAGCAAAGTAACTTTAAATAGGAAAGGAAAGCCCATCAACAAAAAGCCATTCAGCTGGAAACACTTTTTAAAAAGCAGCAAAATTTTATTAAAGGTAGAAAAGAAACAGGCTCTGCAAAGCAAGTTTGGGTCAAATAAAAGTAGAAAAAGAAGTACACTCTGCAACATGAGGGTGAGCCACCATTCAAGAGGGAAAAAAACATAAGAGGTATGAAACACTTATTTTGAAAGAGCAGTTCTCTGTCTCTCTAACAAATACAGGCTTATCAGAATTTGATACCTGCACATACTATGGGTGTAGTAAGCCTCAGTAGGCAGTATACCAACTTTAAGAGGAAACAATGAAATAGAGCTGTGAGCCTGGTCCCTAGTGTTAAGACTGAAGCAGAGTACCAATTAAAGTCAATCAAGGAGATAATGGACAGTTCTGGGGAAGATAACAAAACACAAGTTCTAGAAAAAGATGGATTAAGTAGCAAAGAGCAATTAGAAAGCAGTTAAACATTTACCTCAAAACTTATTCAATATATTTAATCAGATAGCTGAATTTGATAAAGAAAAGCAAAATAAGAAAAAAAAACCTAATATGTCAAGGAAATTTGTACCATGAAACACTACTAGTAAATATTTTAATAATAACAGTCTGACACAGAAATATCCACTTCTAAAGTTATTTGCAGAGCTTATAGAAAGCTGTTTCAGTTGTAGGTCCCTTTGTCACAAGTTGAGTTTTAGGCATCCCATGAGTGTGTATGTATAGTGTATTTCTTATTATGACAATTTAATTTTTTTATCTAAACTAAAGGTAATTCTACATAGTTGCTTCATTGATTATGGGGTATGCAAATTCCTGGGCCCATCCTATCTTACTATATGGCAGAAAGTTATATTTGTGCATTAAATCCTTGGATCATTTAATAAAAAATTACTGTTTCTGTTAAATTAAAATCCCTCAGATTTTTTCTTTTGGATGAAGAAGACCAAAGTACAGACCTTGATGACGACGACTGCAGTTGTGGGGGCTGAGCCCAAGGCCTTCATTCTAAGGTACACCCCAGCCTTTTTCATTTTGAGACAGATATTCACTGAGTCCCTATGTTGCCCAGGATAAGCCAGAATTTGCTATTCTCTTGACTCAGCCTCCCAGAGTGCTGTGATGACAGATGTGTGTCACCAACCTGACTAAGATATTAAGGTTAAACCTTCCTAATAAATCTCTGGATCACATGATAAACCTCTAAAGCATATTCAAGAAGACAAACCTTAATTTTGGATATAGAGCAGTATTTCTTCACCGTTCTTAGTCCCACAGGATTTTGGGGATTTCTTTATTTCGTTTCCTGAGATAGGGCCTTATTACGCAGGCTGGCCTTGAACTCACTCTATATAACCCAGGCTGGCCTCAGACCGGTAGTGATCCTTCCTGCCTCAGCCCCCTGAGTACTGGGATCATAGTGTGTGCCACCATACCCAGTGCCAATGGGTTTGTCTGGAGAAAGAGATGAACATCTTCATTGCTCATGTGACTTGGGTAAGGCTCCCAGGAAAGTTGATAAAACTGACTAGTTTTAAAAGGAATCCTAGACCATATGAATGGGAAGGGGAAAAATAAAATAAATCAGCAATAATTTCTATTTGCCAATATTAGGACTGTACAGAAAACAGATGAACAAAATTCTACATCAGCATTATATCTGTATATCTAAGAGTCCAATAATGACTTACAGAACCTCAGATAAACAGTAAGACCTGGATTCCATTTTCATTTTAAATAAATAGAAACTGAGGCCCAGAGAAAGAAGCAAAGGTCATCAAACCAATTGAGAAGGAAAGCAAATATCCTAGCCCCTTATTTCTTCAATTGTATCACATACCTTGAAGGACAGAAAAAAGTAAAGTTTCTTTTTAGATGCTCTATTTAACAGAATCTCTCATTTGTTTGTTTACTCAAATGGCAGCCCTTCAAGAGGACTACAAATTCTGAAGCTTGAGGAGGGTATTATCAAAATGTAAGGTAAGTTGAGCCCTTCAGTGTAAAACACAAGACAGCCAGTTCAAGTGGCCTCAAGACCACCAAAATCATTTCAGCCTTATTTGTTCCTAAGAAGCTTTTGATGAAAGTCTGATGTACAGTGAAATCCATGTGCCCACATTCACAGTGGGACTTCTATCCATTTCAGAAAATCAGAAATATGCAATAAATGTTCTACATTTCCTTTTAAATTTGCAATGGTTGAAACAAAAAATATAAGTTCAATGTTTCTGGTTTTCATCTGTCTGGTCATTAATACAGACATTTCCTATGGCAAGGAACTGTTTAATTCAACAAAACAGGTATAATAAAATCACAATCAAATGCAGTCTTTTTATCTGGGACTAAAATGCAAACCACCTAAATGTAGAAAAACAACAGGAACAACAAAGACAAGCCTTCTACTCCTCAAATTGGAAAGGAAAATTCATAGTTTAAAAAAAAAAAAAACAAACCCCTCAGTATTGATGAGCCAGCATGATAGCATACTATAATCCCAGCACTCTGGAATATAAGGCAGAAGAATCACTCTGAGTCTGAGGCCAGCCTGGTCTACACAGGGAATTAAAGGACAGTTTGAACTACATAGTGAGAGCCTGTCTCCAAAAACCAAAAGCAAAAACCAAACAAACTAAAAAAACCTTAGCACTGAAAAACCAAAATAAAATATTCCCAAAACTGGAGGTTTTCATCAAATTCTATGAACATTCAATGAGTGAGTCTCTCCTTAGGAACATGCTACCTATGGTGATATAAGTATCATGTGATCCTTGATCTAGAGACGCTCACCATCTCCTTACCTAACCTACTTGTGATGCAAATATATCAAAAAGATAAAACAGAGCATGATGATTGTGAGTGTTCAGAATCAGGGAAGGGAAGAATCAGGGAAAAAAAGATGAAACAATAATCCATCACACTGCAGTGAGCTGCCAAAGTGAGACAGCATTATATTTGGGCTGAAACTTGTATTCCATAAGTAGAAAAGTAAGAAAGGTTGTTATGGCTTGTGTCTAGTTGTCCCCCCCAAAGCCTCATGTAGGTCATGGGGCAGATACAGCTGGAGGAGCAGCAAGTGGCTTGAGGGACGGGGCCAGAGGACCAGGGCAGAGCTCAAGGAGCCGAGCCACAGAGGCGCAAATCATTAAATTGATGGCCAAGCTGACTGCCCCCCTCTCCCCAGCCAGTGGCCTCCCTCTGAGATGTGGAAAGGGTCATCCTGGGCACAGCAGCATCTCAGCCTCTTCTGCAGACCCTGTAGAGCTGAGGCAGTGTCTTGAAACCTCCAGTAACTGTGAGCTAAATAAAGCTTTCCTTCCCTCATTTTGAGCGTTGCGTATTTGTCCCAGCAATGAGAGAAGAGTAGCTAATTCAGAATTTGGTACTAGAGAAGTGGGGTTGTTGCTGTGGTTAAAACTCACCATGTGGATTACCAACCTTTAGGACTGGCTTATGGGAAGAAATAGAAAACACTTGGAGATGTTGCATACAAGAGAGGTGCTGAAACAGCTTTGGCTGTTCTGTAAGGGAG